TGATAAGCACAGAATCTTAAGTATGAATCTTTCTTCTGCTTCTGTCCTTTTCTCTTTTACACCATGATGCCTCTTTTGTCTGCCAATTCATTGCTTCATCTTTTAGACTTGGGTCAAAACGTCATCATTAAGTAAACTTGACATTGTTAACAGTATGTCTTTGCTCACTTATATAGTCAGTTACACTTATATATCCAGTTAGTATAAAACATTATCTATCAGTAAAGGGATGTTTTAGAAAAATTAATCTATACAGTGTGTTTAGATATACTGAAAGAATATGAGCAATCTAGGAAGAACGTTATCAAGATTTGTTTTTCTCAGTCACATTCATGTAATAATTGTAGCTACATCTCTAAAAATAGTCATGCTATTTTTAAAATTCTTTAAGTCTGTTTCAGAGACTTATGAATTTTTAATAAAAATTATAGGTCTTCAAAGTTAAATGTTTCCATTATATTGCTAGGAGACCATAAGGTTTATTAGCTTATATTTGTTTTTCAACTTTATGAGTCCATATTAGGAATCCATATGGCATCACAAAGAAATCAGATCAGTTTATCAGGATTTGGCAGTAATAATATTAAATAATGCCTTAGCTGTAATTACTCTGGATTTTTCATTTTGTATCTGATCAAGTTTCCCATGTCAGACTTTATTACATAGGATTTAAGAAAGTATAAAAATTCTGTTTTACTGATCTAAATTACATAGCAGAGGACTATGCTTATTATTCTTCTGAAGTTAGATCTCTCTTCTTTACCTTTTCCTTAATACATTTACAAAGAACCAAAAAAAAAATTGTTGTGTTGTACTCAAACTTTCCAAACCTCTTTTCTCAAATTTTATGTTACCATTTGTCTAGCAGTATATGAATATGTCTTTGCATGTTTAAAGAAACTCTGGTAGCATAGTGGTTACGACTTAGGCTGCTAACCTCAAGGTCAGCAGTTCAAAACTACCAACTGTTCTTTGGGATCATGAGAGGCTTTCTGCTTCTGTAAAGGTTTTGTTGTTGTTGTTGTTAGATGCCATCGAGTTGGTACCGACTCATAGCGACCCTATACACAGCAGAACGAAACACTGCCCGATCCTGGGACAACCACACTATTGTTGCCACGCTTGAGTCCATCGAAGCTGCCACCTGGCCAATCTATCTCATTGGGGGTCTTCCTCTTTTTCTGTGCCCCTCCACCCTACCAAACATCATATCCTTCTCCAGTGACTGGCCTCTCCTGACAATATGTCCAAAGTATGAGAGACAAAGTTTGGCCATCTTGGCCTTCAAGGAGCACTCTGGCTGCACTCCTTCCAACACAGATCTGTTTGTTCTTTTGGCAGCCTATGGCACTTTCAGTATTCTCCTCCAACACCATAACTCAAAAGCATCAATTCTTCTACAGTCTTCCTTATTTACTGTCCAACTTTCGTATGCATATGAGGTTATTGAAAATACCATGCCTAAGAAACTGTATACAGGGTTGCTGTGAGTCAGAACTGACTCTATGGCATGTAACCAACCATCCAATTGTATGTTTAAACACAGATAGGCAAATGATTGAAAACAACAGTGTGTGCCTGTTTCAGATTATGAAATTAGTTATTGCAACAATAAGAACCATTTTGGAATCCAATAGCCTTAATGACCAAACCAGGAAAATAGCAATACACAATAAATGCCTTGGACCAATAGGATTTTGATTTCCCGTTTGTGCCAGACCAATAGTACCTTGTTTGACACATATGCACAAATTAAAATTTAAAAATAGAATTTTTGTAATAGAACACAAGTCTCTTATTGACACTGAGAGTGAATTTATCAGTGTCAGATATTTCCCCCATTCAGCCGAAGATAGATGAGTTTTGTTGTGTTTCATCATAGTCAGCCAAACTTGTGAGGTCCCAAGTAGGATATCGGTGGTAGAAAGAAAGAACTAGTACTCTGGAGCATTTCTTTATTGCTATTGAAATGTATTGCTTTACCTGCTTGTAAAAGTCACTGAGCATTTGAGTGTAGACATCACAGTAAAATTCAGTTATGCAAGCTTTATAGTTGTTGTTGTTGTTGTTGAGTGCCGTCGAGTCAGTTCCAACTCAGTAGCCCTGTAAAGGGTTTCCAAAGAGCAGTTGATGGGTTTTAATCACTGAACTTGCAGTTAGCAGTCCAGTGTTTATTCTATAGCACCACACCAGATTCCATACTTGTCAAAACTTCCTAAAATTTAATAAAAACCTCTAAAGCATATTATAGTTGTCATAGAGTCCTGGTATGGAGCTGTGGGTTAATGTGCTGAACTGCAAAGTTGGATTGATCTGCAAGGTCGGTGGCTCAAGCTCACTAGTCACTCCTCGGAGTGCTGTTGAGTCGGTTCCAACCCATAGTGACCCTGCCTATATAGGGTTTCTGAGGAGCAGCTGGTGGGTTTGAATTGTCGAGAACTTGTGGTTCACAGTCCAGTGCTGATCCTAAAGCATCACACCAGGAGACCAATAGTTGTCATAGCTTCCTAAAATTTAGTAAACTGTTCTGTTGTTGCTGCTAGGTTTTAAAATTATTTTGTGGGTATATGAGGATCACATACAGTGAAACAGAATAATCATTAACTGAAAATTCTATTCCATGAGTAATTTCATTTTGTGAGTATTAATTTAAATGTTTCTGAGATCAAAGCTTCTTAAAATTTAGTAAAAACCTCTAAAGTATGTTGTTGTTAGGTGCCATTGAGTCGGTTCCAACTCAAAACAACCCTGTAGGGTTTTCAAGGAGCAGCTGGTGAGTTTAAACTACTGACCTTGTGGTTCACAGGGTGAGAAGCAGCTGGTGTGGCACCCCAGGGTCAATGGTTCAAACTCACCAGCCACTCCTTGAAAAGCCTATACAGGGTCTCTGAGTCGGAACCAGTGCCGGTGGCACTTAACAGGTCATCAGTGTTTTTTTGTTGTTATAATGGATAATGCTAATGGTTCAGTCTTATGGTAAAGATAATGTTTATTAATCTATGTTTTGAGAATTTTCTATTTTACCATGTAGTAGGTAGTACAGCTAAGGAGCTCTGGTAGCGTAGTGGTTACGAATCGGGCTGCAAACCGCAAGGTCAGCTGTCTGAAACTACCAGCTGTTCCGCGGAAGAAAGATGAGGCTTTCTGCTCCTATAAAGAATTACAGACTCGGAAACCCTTACAGGGTCACTATGAGTCGGAACATAACAACACACGGCACATAACAACAACAACAACAACAGGTAGTACAGCTATGTAGATTAGCCCATAATTACAGATGAGGAACATCTGAACTAGCCTCTAGATAATGAGAAAAGGTTGTGTAGAGATTCATTGCCTTCAAGTAGATTTTGACTCATAACAAACAGAGTAGAATTGCTCCATAGGGTTTCTCAGGGTGTAAATCTTTACAGACTACCTTATCTTTGTCCTGTGGAGCTCCAAACCACCAGTTTGGATTAGCCCAGTGCCTAGTCCGTTGTGCCCTCAGAGCCCCTATGAGTGGTGGTGGTTGTACGTCTGTTTTAATTCATAGCAGCCCTGTGTAAGGGTTTCCAGGGAGCAGCTCGTAGGTTTGAACTGCTGGCCTTGCGGTTATCCTGCAGTGCCACATTATGAATAGGAATAGGAGAGAGAGTAAATAACTCCATTGACTGGAATAGGGGACTGTTGGGAAACATCAGGGTCTTCTGTAAGCCAGGTATAATGCAAAGTGGGCCTTGTTTACTCTTTCCTAGGATCCTGTGGGACTGGAGTCATTATTAATAAATTCTCTTCAAGTGTTAATACAGATCTAAGTAACTCCCTGACTTCTCAAGCTTGTTGTTGTTAGATGCCATCGAGTCCGTTCCAACTCATAGTGACCCTGTATAGGGTTTCCAAGGAGCAGCTGGTGAGTTTGAGCTTGTGATTGAAACCAACCTTCTGGTCCACTGTATTATCCTTCAGCACCACAGCAGGACTCCCTTCTCAGACTGGTGGTGGTATGCCATGTGCCATGGAGTCGGTTCTGACTCATAGCAACCCTGCAACCGAGGCTGTAAATCTTGATGGGAGCAGAAAGCCTCATCTGGTAGTTTTGAACTGCTTACCTTGAGATTAGCAGCCCTATTTGTAACCATTATGCTATCAGGACTCCTCTTCTCAGACTAGGATGAGAGAATATATGCTTAATTACCCTCAGCGCTAGAGCACTGGTGTGGCGCTGTGGGTTAATGCACTGGACCACAAGGTCAATAGTTCTAGCTCACCAGCTGTACCTTGGAAACCCTATACAGAGTTGCTATGAGTCAGAATTGACTCAAAGGCACATAACAACAACCCTCTTATTCCATTACCCTGATTAATTATGACTTAAAGCTTTGTTGCCAGCACCTCCCTCTGTGTCCTTAACTTTGATTACTCCTTTGAGCAGAGGATTTTTTTTTTTGCCTTCTGTTGCCATTTGGACACTATCTTCTCTCCTTTTAGCATGTCTCATTCTTACTTATGATAAGTAAGAGTATTATTTCAGCACATTGGTGGGAGAATGTTCAAATAGAAAAGATAATAAAACTGTTACAAGATAGACAGAACAAATGTCATGGAAAATCTGTATAAATAAAGTGTTTTAGCTGGTCAGTGCTCGTTTCAAAATAACAAAAACAAAACCTGTTGCCAGTGAGAAGATTTCAACTCATAGCAACCATACAGGATAGAGAACTGCCCATAGAGTTTCCAGTGCCTGCTGGCACATTGGTAAACCTCTCAGCTGCTAACCAAAAAGTTAGTGGATCAAACCTCCCAGCAGCGCCATTGGATAAAGATATGGCAGTCTACTTCTGTTAAGATTCACAGCCTTAGAAACCCTATGGGGCAGTTCTACTCTGTCTTCTAGGGTCACTATAAATTGGAACCAACTCAACAGCAATTTTTTGTTGTTGTTTTTATGCATTTAAAATAAACTTGTTGTTTCTGTTGTATTAAATGACATTTTCCTTTTTGTCTCCTCCCACCTGCAGGAGACTGACTGGACATTCTTTCCACATGGGCTACAGCATGGCAATTTTGAATGGCATTGTAGCAGCTCTTACTGTAGCATGGTGTCTCATGTAAACCCACACTGGAGCGATATTGTTGGCAAAACTTAAGTCATAATTGTTATGTAATAACAAGATCATTATGGTCTACTCAGAGGACTAATAAACCTGCTGTTTATTATGTAGTTCAGATACATGTCATAATTATTACCATTTATGGTTATAGAACGTAGGCATTGGGAATATCTATTAAGTTTCAAGTACTTCTTTAAAAGTGTAAGATGGTTACTTCATCTTTTTACTTTTTTATGTGTAATTATTACAAATTGTAGGAAAAAGATAATGAAAATCTAACTTGAAAACTTGAATATAGGACAATGCCTACTTTTCCATGTCTATAGTCCATTTTTGTGAATAAATACTGATCTTGCTGTTTAACTGAGATGGACATACTATTTATATGTTGTATTGGGAAAGCAAATAATGCCTACTAATTTGATACTTTAAAGTAGCTACTTTAAATAAAAATATTTAGTTTTTGATACTCATATATTTACTAGAAGGTGCATTTATGTTTTTATGGGGCATACTTATGTTTTTGTTTACATATTTTGCTACTACAAACTGAATTTGTATGTTTTTAAACTGTTTAATATGCTATTTTTTAGCTAGTATAAACTTAATACCCACTTTTTCTTACAATATTTTTGTGTGTTTTAAAAAAAAATAGCACATTGGTCTGAGTTTAAGATTAAATTTATTCTAAGAAAAAAGGATTGAAAAAGGTAAATTAGTTAAGTCATTCAATTTACTGAGTAATTTGAAACTGTTCGATGTTTCTATAATTCCATTTATTTATCTTGGTGTACGTATGGTTACTTCAACAGAATTTATTGTATTTTCTTTTTAATAAATATAAGTGTGAATTTTTTTTCATGTAGAATGTTTTTGCTTACTTTTTAATCTCAAAAATTCCATTAAGGATAAGTCAAAAAGTATTGCTACTGCAGTCTAGTTCACACATGCATAGGTTTATTGCAGAGAGAACTTGTTTAAACATGTCTCTGCAATCACTAAATGGCTACAGACAAGCTCTATTTGGCACACTTGTCTTGGTCTTGTTTGGGTACCTGTAGTCAAGGCTCATGGAAGCAGCAGTCAAGAACTCAAAGGACATACTGCATTATGCAGTATGCTGCAAAAGACCTCTTAAAAGTGTTAAAGAGTAAAGATGTCACTCTGAGGAGTAAGTAAGGTATGTGTCTTTGTTATCTAATGCTGGTATAAGAAAAATACCACTGCTAAACCATTGAGAATCCATGCCTTCTCAAGTTGGCACAAAATCTTAATAATCATAGCCCACTTGTCAACTTGTTACCTGTACATATCTCCTTAAATCATACATAATCTCTAAATAAAGACAGTTATAGATTCATACCTGCACCTAGCAATGTAACTAACACTCGTACAACTGAAAATGCACTGTTGTTATTATTAAGTGCTGGCAAATCTGTTCTGACTCATAGCGACCCTATATAGGGTTTCCAAGGAGCATCTGGTAACTTAGACTACAGTGCCAAAGCAGGACTCACCAGCCCCATTAATTTGTTGTTAAATGCCATGGAGTAAGTTCCGGTTCCTACTGTCCCTGTATTGGGTTTCCCGGGAGAGGCTGGTAGGTTTAAACCACTGATTAGCAGTTCATTGCTTATTCTAACAGCCACACCAGGATCCCATTATATTATTCCCACAGTCTTTCAAGTCCAGATTCCAACCTGAGACAAAACTCTTCTTCATCCATAATCTAGAATATGAAGTATCTCCTTTAAAATACAATGTTGGAATAGGCACAGGGTATACACTGTCAATAGGCACAGGGTATACACTGTCATTGTAAATGGGAGCAATTGGAGGCAAAGAAGGGATAACAGGCACCAAGCAAATTAAAACTGCATCAGAACAATTTACATTAGCTCTCAAGACTTAGAAGTGTACTTAACTGCTAACCTCAAGGTCAGTGGTTCATGCTCACCAGCTGATCCAAAGAAGAAAGATGAGGCTGTATGCTGTGGAGCACTTCTACTCAGTCCTTTCAGTCACTGTGAGTTGGAATTGTTGATTCTGATTCATAATGACCCTGTATATGGTTCCTGAGGAGCCACTGGCAGGTTTGAGCCATCACCTTTTCGTTTAGCTGTCCAGTGCCACACCAGGACCCCTGTCTGTGTGTGTGTTTGTATGTATAAATTAATAGGTAATTAAATTTTTTCATGAACTTTTTGAAGCTCCATATGGATGCATGTGCCATAGTAATTGAAACAGAAATAGAGACATGACTCAAATCTAGCCAGTCTCCTTCGGAGTTTTCAGCTTGAAAATAAGATAGAATATAATTTGAAGCCGGGAATATACAAGCCTAAGAGGTGCTGGCAGTCATATTTCAGCCAAACTCAGTGGAAAAGAATAAGGCTGACACGGATACAGTGAATGGCGTTCCTCTCATCCCTGAAGCCCAGTGGTTCCCCTGCCATTATTTAGATTTGATTATATAAGCCTATAAATTCTTCTTGTAGACTCTACTGCTCAGATTGGACTTTGTCATTTGCAACAAAAGGAGTCAAGATGAGTTTGCTCAGCAGCTGGAATTCATCTCTATTATAATTCTAACACAGATGATCTCATCTCTTTATGTGTGTTGCTTGCAATTTATCTGTTATAATATTCCATTCAGTTCCTTCTGAAGGATAAAGCAGGTATAAATGTGCCTGTGGTTAGTCATTAGTTTAGTAACCTCAAAAAAGTTTTGGAGTAAACTAAAATCAGTTATTGGAGTCCTGGTGTGGTGCTGTGGGATAATGTGCTGGACTGCAAGGTCGGTTTAAACTACAAGGTCAGCGGTTCAAGCTCACCAGCCGCTCCTCAGAAACCCTGTACAGGGTCGCTGAGAGTCGGAACCAACTCGATGGCACAACAACAAACAACAAAATCAGTTACTAATCTAAATGCTGTTAGATAAAGAATTTTTCGTTTTAAGTTCCAAATTCAATTACACCTTAAGAGTTACTAGAACATTAGTTGTATAAGGTATGTCTTTAGTTATATTAAGATGATGAGTTTTATATATAATACTATTACTAATAGCAATATTTCTCAGTTTCCTGATCAGTAAAATGGTAATAATATTTTTTTAAAGTAGTTAGGTTTGAATTACAAGCTTACCTCAAGAGACATTGTGAGTTTGGTTCCAGACCACTACAATAAAGCAAATATCGCAATAAATGGAGTTGTGCACAGGTTTTTTGGTTTCTCAATACAAATATGAAAAAGTTTGAGATATTGTGAGAATTACCACAATGTGACACAGACATGAAGCTCACTTCTTTTGGGAAAATGGTACTCACAGACTTGCTTGATTCAGGGTTGCCAAATATCTTCAATTTGTAAAAAATTCATTATCTGCAAAGTACAATAAGACAAGGCATATCTGTACAATGAAAACACCACACTTTAAAATATGTAGCACCTAGATAAAACACTATGTAGAGGAAATTTATAACTAAATGCATTTATCAGGACACAAGGAAAACAGATAAAAATGGAATTCAAAAAGTAGCAAAGTAAACCCAAAGTATATGAACAATGAAACTAGGAAAGATAGGGCTCAACCAATGAAAAACACCACCACTAAAAACTAGAGAAAATAGCTAGCTAGTTAGTAACAGAAGTAGTTGCTTTGAAAAGACAAAAATAGACTTACGGTAAAACATTTTAAAAAAGACCCTTCTTTTCTGTCTTCCAATTTCTGCCCATTTTATTTGCTTATATTATCAATCAGGTAAGTTTCTTGATTGCAATCAACAGAAGTTATCTTAAAAGGAAATTTGTTGGGAAGGTATGCAGTGATTCAGAACCCATGCTAGGAATCCAGAAAGTGTCAAAAGCACAGGGACTGTTTAACAGCAGTAACAATCTGGTCAGAACGTTGTAATTAATTCTTCCTGACATTCATTCTTGTCCTTGCAAGATCTGGTCAATGTTCAGAGTGCATGGCAAGAGTGCCCAATTGACAGATTAAGTCATGTGCTTACTCCTGCTGGTTTCTGACATTAAAGGCAGCTACCTGATTTACTCTTTGAGGAACTGGAATCTTTTGGTTTGAGTAAGTGATTATCAAGCAACCAAAATAGACAAATATTCACTACAATTCATTCTTTTGGTTGATTTCCACACAAATATACTCTTCACAGTTAAACTTCCAAAAGGGCTCATGCCTAGCCATGCAATTATCCCTCATATAAGAGAAAATGCAGCAACCTTTTTTTTAGTGGAATACAGTCCTAGAATGCATTAGAATACTACATCCAATACCAATGGCTGGACCTTCAGATTATGTGCATTTTTCTAATTTTATCACATTCTCCTACTGATATTATGCAAAGTAGTCATTTCTGAAAAACACAAAGGACAGGAAAGGGATGGAAAATTCATTAAAACATGTTGTTTCTTAAGTGCCATCTAGTCAGTTCTGCCACACAGCGACCTTGTATAGTGTTTCCAAGGAGCAAATGATGAGTTTGAAATGCCAACCCTGCAGTTCAAAGTGACTTCCAGTTAAGTGCTTTACCACAGCAGGACTGCGGTAAATATGATGGAGTAAGAAAATAAAGGTAAAAATTACTGTCTTACTAAAGCACCTAGTCATGGCCTTCTTCCCTTTTTGGTGCATCCTCAATTGAACAAAAAATAGTTGTACTGAATCAGTGAGAGGATTTTTTTCTTTTTTAAAGTAATCATGCAGAGATGAGTATGTGTGTACTGAATAGGAAAAGGAGTTGGATTCTAATAAAGATTTGATTTTTTTGATTATTCAGTGCCAAGACACCTTGTTGCAGGTCAATTCCTTATGATGTGCTGTTAGTGAAAGGCAAGGCTTCACACCGCACTACGGAAGTCTATGACATTAGATCCTTTCTTTTTCACCAGTCCGATTGCTAATGTTTTAAAATTGATGCCATCAGATGATGTTCCTGCCTGAGTCTCTGAATTGCAAATGAATGTTAGAATAAGAGAAAGTTT